TCCCTGCAACTCCGTTGCGCGGAGGTAATAATATATACGTACATGCGAGTATCTCTAATGTGAGTGTGTGTGTGTGTGTGTGTGTGCGTGTGCGTGTGTGCGTGCATGTGCGTACGTGCGTGCGTGCGTTCGTGTATGTGTAGGTGCGTGCGCGCGCGCGCGTATGTGTGCACAGGCACTTGGAACGTCTCATTAAAAAAAATTAATGATAAATAAACACGAAATGTAGCAGTCTCAATGTTTCTCTACTCTATTTCGCCTATGATCACCTGTAAATGCCGGTCAAATGCTCATCTGCAACACACAAGTACACCGCACGCCCGCCCTGTGCTGCGTGCACAAACAACATGAATAAGAGAGTTATGTTATTCATGTTGTTTAAATGCTCTTTTATGCTCTTTTATTGTTATACTCTCTTATTCATGTTGTTTGTGCACGCAGCACAGGGTGGGCGTGCGGTGTAGTTGTATGTTGCAGATGAGCATTTGACCGGCATTTACAAGTGATTATAGGCGAAATAGAGTATAGAAACATTAAGACTTTGGTACATTTCGTGTTTATTTAGGCTCAAGGGGTCGTTGTTGTATCAGGTACTACAGATATGTACCCGAGGTACATATATGTATACACAAAGTGTACCAGACTTGTACTACAGAAGTGTACCCTAACCCTAACCTAGCTCTAGTACTAACTCTAGTAGCCCGCGGATTGCTGCCGCAGGCTCTAGTACTAGAGCTACGGGCTATAGTACTAGAGCTAACCCTAACCCTAACCCTAACCCTAAACATACTTTATATAACAAGTGCCACGGAGCGACAGCGCTCATCTAGCGTCTACGGTAACATCTGTTTTACACATGTTCATTGCATTAGTAATTGTAGATAGATTTAGTTGTACATAGAAGCAGGGTTCAGCGTTTAGCATACAGATGAGAAATAGCTAGGTTGGTGGAATATCAGATGGTAGATGGCACGTACACATCTGCGGGACATGTGCCTTTCGCGCGTAATTATTCGAATAGAGAGAGAGTGGTGGTGTGTGATAGGTTGGAGTAGGAAGGCGCTTGCCAGTGATTGGACGAGAGAGTGATATATAAGAATATGGAGGGTTGGAACTAGATGGTTGGAACTAGACGGTTGGAACAGGGAGGAAGATGGGACGACGAGATGGCGACTGTTATGCTTGTAAACAATATATTTCTTTAATTGAACACAAATTCTATATGTCTTCTTGATTATTTATACTTTAAATTATTACATACAAACTACGTCCCTACACTACTGCGGTGACTCTGTGGTGGAGTGGTGGGATTCTAGTAAACCCTGTTAGTCCCAAATGTGTTCACATACACGCCGAAACAGTGGAATGCACAGGGATGGTATCAGGAACCTTCTCAAAGGAATGTTCGTTGGGATCGTTATGAAAGTTGCCCTGAGATGGCGCATACGTTTAAGTGTCTTAAGATTAAAGATGGAAGCTCCCATCGTACATAGTATAGCAACAACTATTTGCAAGACAGAAGAGGTAAGCACTCATCCTTTTGTAAATAGAGATTTCGGTTACAGGCCCTAGGGGTAGCCGCTATACTTTTACCTACGAAGCCTACAGGCTAAAATAGAGAGCTGCCACCTGTAACTAATTAACGCAGGCAAAAACTACACAGTACAGCAGTACACAGTACATGCACTGGCAGTGGCCACTGGCAGTGGCATACGTTACATGTAACACACTGACAGTACAGAATGCCATAGAAATTATACGGTTTAAGGAGCATAAACCTTCTCCAACCAAATTTAGCTTTTGAAATTTTACTGTGACATATTGTAGCCTCATACATCCAGGCATGTATAGATTCTACTAGCGAAACGTGGCAGTCAATTCCTTTCTAAAGACAGCTTAAACAAATCCATGTTTACCATCCTCTGAGGCGCTCAAAAGGTTATCCGACACTGTAGCTGCTTTGCATGTCAAGCAGAAGTAGATTTCATGGTCAATAAGCCATAAAAATGCTAGGTCACTGCTGAAACAAAAAAGTTTTTCAATCGCTCCGTCAGACCATGTCCTCAGAAAATGTCTAAAATCTGCCCTGTGCCTTATTGACCTCTGACCTGTGACCTCCAATTTCGGCACAGTGATGGCTTTTCCTACCATGATGCTATACACCGACTATCACAAGCCTAGGTCGAGCCGTTTAGATTTGTGCCGCAATTCTGCATTTCCTCTCTATACCTTAAGTTAAAGAGGGAATGTTCCCCCTTCTTTTACACCTCTTAACCTTTGACCCCCAGCTTTGACATCCCAACTCGTTTTTGGATTAACCCCCCCCCCACGTCCCAACTTTCAAATCCGTACGTCGAGCCGTTTAGATTTGTGCCCAACTGTTGACGGACGGACGGACGCTCGCACAAACGGACGGACGCTCGCACAAACGGACGGACGCTCGCACGAACGGACGATCATGCGATTCTACAAGCTGCATCTGACTTCGTCAGATGAGCTAAAAATATAAACATAATACTAAACAACCTAAAACTACCTCGGGTACATATCTGTAGTACCTGATACGACAACAACCCCATCTGCTTTATTTACCATTAATTTTTTTTATTGAGCCGTTCCAAGTGCCTGTGTATGTGTGTATGGGGGAAAACACAAATAGTTCCTGCATGCATTTGCTAGATACAATAATTTACTAGTAGTAGTAGTACTAGAGTAGTAGTACTAGTAGTACTAGTACTAGTAGTAGTACTAGCAGGAGTAAAATAATATAGGATATCTTATATTATCCTATAGGATCTTAGGATCTTAGGATTTTAGGATCTTAGAATCTTAGGATCTTATAGGATCCTATATTACCTTACTCCTGGTACTAGTATAGTAGTAGTTCGACCCTGCCCTGTGGCAGTGGCAACCTAACAGTGGCTACCTAACAGTGGCCAACTAACAGCGGCACAGTGGTTAACAACCAGTGGGCACATATATAACAGTCACAGTGGCTATACCTAACGGCTAACACTGTAACAGTGTCAAGTGCTACAGGCATGTAGGCCTACTTACCCCTGTTTACATTGTTTCCATGGCTAGGGCCTCCGGAGATTGCTACCACTGACATTCTTGGGCGGTCGTAGTAGACGTATATATAAAATAAAAAATCCACATGTGTGCTTGCTTGCGTTGGGTTCCTCTCGCCAAGGAAATCGCAGCCACAACAAAATGACGACAAAGCACGATGACGTACGTTGCCGGGCAACGTGCTCGGACTATTAAATGTGTCGGACTAATAAGCGTACGATATACCACGTGCGTGATTTGCCGTTGTCACCGATACTCGCCGCAACGTCGTAGGCCGACTCCTCCGGCCCTGCTGCGACGTACTGGTTAGAGAACTGAAATGAGCTTTGTATTGATTTTTGATGGAAATGAGTTGGATTGATTTTCTAATAGCCAGCACACTGGACACACTGAGCTCCCGCGAAGGAGGGGTACGTACGCGGTCGAAGGCTCCTTTGTTACACCATATATATACACAACACATGTTTTGTGTGTATATCTATGGTTACCGTACACTGGGCTATGATTCATTCACATGCATGCAGCAGGGATTTGTAGCTGGCATTATGGCATATACAATTATCTAAGTAGGGGGTTTAATTATTGCAGCAACAACGGTACGCGCAGGTCAGGATGTGCAATTTATCCGAATATTTCCTGAGATATCACCACCGCGACAACCACCCGGGCCGACCTTGAATGGATAGAATTCATCAATCGTGATCGAGTGGATTCGTTCGTAAGCATTCTTGGTAAAATCACATGCCTCGCCAATCTGCCGAAAGATGTCGCCTTCGCACAACCAATCAATCAATCAATCAATCAATCAATCAATTAGATAGCGGTGCCATCTCTATCTATGGATAATGCCTCTGATCAATTAATGCTAGAATCTATAGTTGCAGTAATAGCATGATGTGTTACGAAAGTAATGCATCGAGCTAGGAAAAACGTTTATAACGCGAAATTCCGTAATATAACGTGAATCACGTTAATTGATTGACCTTTGATAGATAAATGAAGATGCGTTCCTGCGATAGTTTTTCGACTAAAAGAAGTACACGAAGCATGTTTATTAGGTGATGGTTTTATAAAGATCTGTGACCGAACGAAGGCATAAAATATCTGAATAGCAATAGATATATACAGAGTTGACGGTAGGCGATAGTGGCAACTGGTATCATAGATATTTAGTGAAAGGGTGCCAAACCTCTGTCCAGTTTAGGTCGCATATCAAATACAAACATGTGTTGTAATATTATATCTACTGGTTGCATCTTATATCATCTGTCATTACCCATTTGAAACAACAAAGGCCAATGCGCCAATGCCGTCTGTTGAAAATCGCCTTTGTAACATTCTTTTAGTTCTCGCTCTTTGGATAAAGATGTTTCGTCTGCGCTAACTCAAATATCTCGGCGTCTCCAGGTTTCTCAAAGAATTAACCTACGCGATGTGTGAAAAGTTTTCGT